AAACGCGCCAACTTGGTGGATAAGGTCGGTATCACAAAAATGTATATGTTTACGCGGAACTTGGTGCCAATTTTGGTGCCAAATTTGTGCACCAATTGTGATGCACTGATGCGAAGCAGTCTGACTTTTGATCTTGAGCTATATAACATGCTGTATTTTTTTATTTTTAAGCTGATGCGTTACAGTTTCACGAGAATGTAACGGAGATTAAGCTTTACCGGTATACCAATTTTGAGGGGAATCCGAATAGTTATATTTTGTTTACCTTGCACTCTCTGACCTGGTATAACCTTTTTTGCTTTTGGACCTGCCACCTTACACTTTCGCCAGAGGGATCAGTAAGTTAAGATCTATCTCTGTGCCAATTTCCAGGCATGTCGAAGTAGTCCGCGAATATGACTCTAAATGTGGATTCCAATTTGACGCGCGTGCTTTAGCTTATCCAATAATTTGGAGCGGTTCTTAGCTTCGGCCAGTGCCCATGCAAGCAAATAGCAGCCCAATGGGGATAGCTGTTCATAGGACCTAGCCCATTTGGCACAACATTCAGGATGCCCTAGACTTCACATCTTGCTGATAACTTTGCCGTAGCTTCAGCGTGTTTGATTGCTTCAAAGCAATTTGCATGGTGTAGATTCAGATGTTGTTCCATCTGAAGCCACACCATAGTATTCTAATTGGTAAGATTTTCTTGTGCTATATGGATACCTAGAACATATGATATCAATATACCATGGAAGTATTGTGGATATGAGAGGCACGGAGAGGGCGGGGAAACTGTCAAACCCTGTTATAGTGGCGTAAGTCACAGGAAATACTTGAAACCATTTCTACTTTTGGTATTATCATAGGCATATCACATATAGGCGTATTGGCTGAAAGGAAGGAATAAATCAAATTCCTCAGATGTTGCAGTAGGTAACATTCACTTGAATAAATAAATGATCAAGCTGCACGATCTAAATCCTGCTTCTTTTTCCTGGTTGTAAATTATGTTAACCCCCGCCCTGATAGGGAGGGGGCGGTGATGCAACCCCTAATTTTTTAGTATGTTTCTCCGGCATGTTTTGGAATCGCAAGCAAAATTTTCCGTGGCATATGGAGCATTTGCATTGCGCGCATTTTAACACCGGAAACGTGTTTATAGATTTTTTGGTTTCGGAGCACTGGCGGTGTTTGAGGACCTGTGCACGTTGATCCACGGCCGGTACGGACGGTAGGGGACTAGCGGCGATTGCGGCGGAACACGCGCGGCAGGCCGACGCCGCCACATTCACGGAGCCATAGAGCAAAGATACGTGCTCAAAACACATGTCAACAGGGGAGGACGTAGACGAGGGAGATCACAGGTCATGCCCAGTTGGGCTCATAAGAGTCCCAAAGCTGGTAGAAAATATGTAGTTTTTCAACACAGAAATGCCACAGAGCTGGACGTCTTTGGGCTTACAGCCGACATATATACATATAGACTTATTACGCTGTCCAGAGGCTTCATGCTGTTTTCGGGGATCTATCTGCCCACTTGAAGGGTAGGTGCGATCGTTGAGGAGCATTCCAAGCTGCACTTGATTTCTTCGCATTTGCTCGGTCGGCCCGCACTGTCGATGGGCCCTTTCTGCTAGCGTGCCGGGGCGCTCTTGTCAATCGGGGGCCCCACGGATTCTCCCCATTCGCCGGAATGTTCTGTACGCTATAGCTGTGGGGCCCATATGTTAACCTGCCGGGGTATTCTGGGCTGCTCAGGGACCCTTTACGTTGGTCTCAGGCTACCGACACCTTCGCGATATACTCATGGACGCTCTACATTGGTCTAGCATAGACAGCCCTCCCAGCTCTCTGTCACTTGCTTATATATATATATATATATATATATATATATATATATATATATAAGCAAGTGACAGAGACACATACAGACATATATATATATATATATATATATATGTATATATATATATAAACATATATGTATATATATATATGCTCACATGCCCGGGTACTCTTGATCGATCAGGTTTTCCTCCACAGATTCTTCTCATTCTCCCGAAAGGCTGTCAATGCCGTTTCTGGGGCCCAATATGCCAGGGTACACTCAGATGCCCAGCGGCCCTTCAAATTGGTGTCGGTTTTTCACTTGTTTGGGGGGCCTTGTGCTCTTGGTGGGTCTCATATAAGGTAATGTACCGAGTCATGCAATGCTCAGGGGTCCTCCACCTTGATTTCGAGCTCTTTCCCTTTGATATCATCTGCGGAGAACCCTTCGCTCCCGTCAGGACCCTTCGTGTTGGCTCGCCCGGCCGCTCTTGATCGCACAAGGGCATTTACTCATCACGCTGGTTTTCGGTAGATTCCTTTGCTCAGAGCGTCCCTGTGCTCTGGCCGGGGTGCTATATGCCAGCCTGCCGGGGCACTTTCGATTGTTCAGGGGCCCGCAACGTTAGTCTTGGGTTCCTCTCGCTTGCTCTGACGATCCTATACTTGTTGACGGGAGCCTCTTTGCTGGCCTACCGCGGCACACATGATCGCTCAGGTTCGGTTCGTATGGGTCTTGGTGTCTTATCCTCAGAGCAGCAGTCGGATATGCGCCGATAAGTTTTTACGCGCAATTGTCGAACGTAATTTTACGTGCCGCTAACGTTGCGCGTGTCATTTCCTTTGGCTATTGAGTGTGCTAAAATTGTGATGCTCGTGCATCACAATATAAATGCATGTTGAATGCTAGGATATTTTGCGCTCCTTTACAACGAAGGAAGCAAACTCTGCATTGTCATCAGATATCTGCTGATCACATGAACCGGGCGGCTAGCCGTAAAAAAACTTCGTAGTAAATAAGCTTCGTAAAAAAGTAAATCAAGTTCGTGCCCTATTTTGATTGTATTTAGCAACCAACTTTAGTTTGTTTTGATTGTTCCTCCGAAATACTTAGCCTTAAAATGATGAGATTCACCGTGATATGGGGAAAATTAGCAATGTCCATGCATGTGCATACGTAGCACGCCTATCTTTCTCGGACGGCGCACAGCAAGATGGGTCCCAGTATTTACTATATACATATATATATATATATATATATATATATATATATATATATATATATATATATATATATATGTGTGTGTGTGTGTATATATTTATATATATATATATATATATATCAGTTATATGCTATTTCCCTAAAATAAAATGGCCGGAATGCGATGAGTTTTTTGGAGAAGGCCCCAAACTCTAGTGGGCCGCACAAATTGTTAGCTATTGCTAACCACAAAAGCTGTACTTAAATTAAACAACGAACAGACCTGTTAAGTTTCGTGTGCCCACAACGCATGGTCTCGTAGATATGATGTAAAGATGGAAAAGTGCGAATTTCTGACGCTCGGGCCCGTCCCCCCCCCCCTTCGACACGGGGTCTCCTGATAGACACTATGGACGAACACGGTGTCATTCACGAGCCGTTAACGAGCCGTTCGGTGTTGGTGGTGTTGGGACCTAACAGGGGCCGCAGTTTGTCAAACGGTACCCTGACCAGTGCAAGAAGTCCTCTTACTTACATTTCAGGTGACGGCGCTACGGGAGGGGGCCCTTAACCCGCGCCCGGCTGGGAGAAGTTGACTTCCTCTCCCCTACGGTTTTCAAGCACGGGTAAAAAAGAACTCTTGCAACAACACGATGTTTTCAATACTTGGTCATCCATTAATTTAGCATCTTTTGTGCATGTTTAAGATCCTTCGAAGCAGCCGGGATCATCGACTTTAGGATACGTAAATCTTTGCTAATTTTTCGTAAATGATGCAAATTTGCATACATTTTTGTGTAGTTTTAGTGTTTGTATGTGAGGAAAAGGGTAACAACTTACATTTACAACCATCATAGATCACAGAGCACATGGCCTTGACTAAGGCCATAGGCTATTTTAATAGATACCTTTAGCAAAACACATACTGAGCTCAACGTGGACAGTTTATAGGGTAATTTTGGACACAGAATTTGGGTGCTCTACTCCAAAACATGCGATATCATTGTAATAGTAAATAAGGTAACAAGAGGTCATCTGAGGACATTCAAAGTCATATAAGGTCATCCGAGGCCAATGATCTATGTTGCCAGTGGCGGAGAGGGTAGATGAACGAGTGCAAACGCGTATAGATCGTGTATGTGGAGCTGATGACTTCTAATTTCATCTGCCAGCGTAAATGTTCTCTGTTTGTTATCGCAACAGTCCTGTGATCTTGGGTCCTATAGGTGAACAGTTGGGTCCTACAGGTGAACACTATTTCTGACCACAAAAAAATGAAATTTTACTCGCCACATTGATCTGGCTAGCACTTCAATTCTTCATTTGGATTGCTGAAGAATTTGACATAAGTTGGCATCTGATGACCTCTAGGTCACCTGATAATGTTCGCAGGTGCATCTAATAAAATAATCTTATTCAGCAGCACATGGTGGAAAATCGTTCTTATAGGCTACCGGAAGAACAATTTTTGATGGTCTGACCTGACCTATGTGTGACAACAGAAGTTGTCAAAATGGACTTACCATAGTCTTAACGCTTATTTCCGTACTCTCAATATCCGTCTTGACGCGTAAACTAAGTTTTTAGCTGCATTTATCGGAACAGCCGTTCTTGACCGTTTGTGACCTCTGGTGACCTCAAGTCTTACCTAAGGTAAAAAATTGTTGTCCATACTTCGTGATTTGACGAGGCCTTTAAAACGAGATCTTTGTTTTACTCATACGCCGTCTGGAAGCTGCAGATCCCAGGGGAAGTCAATTTCCTCCCGGCCGGTCGCGGTTGCCTCAGACCTCCGATTAGGAGCAGGTCAATGTTGACACTGCCAACCCTTCGCGCCATTCTGGCTCTAACAATCGGGCCCTCAGCCGTTGGTGTCGTGGGCCCTTAGGCCTCTTTGACCGTTTAGGACCACGGAGCCACTGTTACGCTCACAACAATGGAAGTCTTCACGTTTGCGGCGAACGTTTGCTGCGGAGTCAAACAGGTGTCGAACTGTCAGTTGTATTATGCGTTCATTGAGCCAAGAAACTAATTTGTAATTGCGAACGCAGCTGTGTATATGGGATATGATGTGGCAGGATTCGGTAGCAGGGTGCATATGTCCCCGGTGCGACGTCAGATGTATGTTTGTTAGCGTTTGGTTTCAGAAACATGGACAATTTGATTATGATATATCCCACGGTCCTGATGATTAGTACGGTATCACACATCCAAGTCATTTTGTATGAATCATGACTTGAATGGCCTGATCTTCATTTCTACATATTTCAGAGAGTACCTAAATCCCCTGAATGTGCGCCAATTGATGCCATTGGCGTAGGACCGAGGGTGTGGTCCAGCAAGATATAGTCCGTTCAGATTGGAATAGTGGCCGTGATGGTACCACCAGGCGCCCTTATATTTCTGGGCGAAATTTGTTTTCGTTTTTTCATTATTCCTGTCCCAGGTGGTGAAAGGTCTGCCGCAGTGCCGAGTGAGACTATCACCAGCATTTCCTGCGTAGCCGCCCACCTGAAGGCGGTAGTTAACCGCCTCCGACCTGATCTTGAATTTCCAGTACGTTGCATATCTTTTTACGCCGTCAAAGTCCTCCATGTTAACGCGCAGCTCGTACCGTCGGTCCATCAGCGACGTCATCCGCCAGAGGTACTCATTGCCCCACCAGAATTCGCCATCGAATCTTCCAAATCCCCACTTGTAGGCATCCCAGCTGAGATAAAAGTTCTGCCTGGGTTTGATGTCGGCTCGCCGCTGGAAAACGGTCCATCCTCCGCCGTCCTTGTCGAGGTCGCAATACACCGGTACAGGGTGCTGCAGACCAGGCCACACCAGGTGCACTCCGCTGGTGGTGCCGGTTGGCAGGTCGCTGCAGTCGCGGGGCGGCGGCTCACCGGTCGGCACCCCGAGGACCGCCCGCTGCAGCTGAAGCCTTTCCAACTGGGCTTTCAGGTCAGCTAGCATCGGCCGACAGGTTAACTCCATAACCACAGAGACCACTTCACGGAGCCGGGTCCGGTTCAGGCCGGCGATCTGTTCTGCGTGCTTGTTGCACACGCCGTCGCACGGGGCTGGAATCCAGAGCACTAGGCATATTGTCGCACCAATCCGGAGCAAAGACATGCCGTGCGCGCAGAATTACCGTTTGGGCGGACAGGCTGGGGCGCAGATTACGCTGCACGATGATTATCGAAAAGAGGCTGAAGCACGATTTGACTTGTTGCGATGTGTCCTGCGGGATGGTTTTGTAGCAAACTTGGTTGCAGCAAGACGGTATGAAAGACAAGGGAATTAAAAACGAACTAAGAAAAAGGTAAGGCTCGAGAAATGTTGGAAACACAAGGATGTTTTCAAGAACAAAGTTGGACCAAGCCAAGCACAAAACGTCCAACTCATACAAATTTACCCAGACGATACAAGATCGAGGATGAAATCAGGCAAATCATTTAGAAAATGGAATCTGAGAACGTGACATGGAGTGGAAGCTTTCGGTAAAATAAATTTAAAATTCGCAGGCACGCTTCGAGGGTTAAGCTAAGCTGCAATATATTCCCAAATGGATTGGGGGCGTGATGGCCGCGTTTTTGGCGCCTTCGAAATTTGGGGCGTGAAGAACTGAGTCTATTCGGCCGGCTATGGACCCCTGCAGGATCAAGGAAGGGCAAGACCCCTTGCCCCCACCCCTCCTCTGGATCCATCCATGCCTGGTGATCGCCTTGGTTCTGTCGTAGTGCCGTTTTTGCACAACAGCCTACGAGCGAGCCAGCGAATCACAGTTCAAAGTGACCAAGATTTAGAAACGTTAAATTTTGCTGCTAACCCCATTTTTGGCCTAAAATGTGTTGCTGTATATCAGGCCTACATCAGAGGCTTGGCTGGCTAGGCCATGAAATGTACAGGTTGTCCAGTGCTGGATTTCTGGTCGGCGGTTCTGGATTCTTTAGTACAAATTTTCCAGGCACGGATTGCAAAATCTGAGTTTCGGGCATTATGGAAAACTTTGAAATCTCATTTCAGACAGTGCAGTTATAGACATAAGCCATAGCAGTGACATAAAACAACATAGCAATTCTCAACTTGATGTAACGCAGTTTGTAACATCAAAGATAGTGTACAACTGCTAGCTAAGCCATGCCGCGTGTTTTTATGGATGGATTAAATCCTGTAAGAGCTCTTTCTCCAACGCTGTTTTTGCCTCCGTATGTTGTGAGAAAGTACATGGGGTTTGTTAGATGACATTTATGGCTGTGATACAGCCGCTGACCCAAAATATTCTCACCTTCCTCCTTAAATGCGACGTCTTAGGTTTGAAGCGAATCGATGTGCTTACCATCCTTAAGCTCGCTACCCCGATCATTCGTGCGCCAAGACCTACGCCCTAACCATAGGAACTTTGGGCATCGCTAGCAAGTGATACTCTAGTGCAAATGGGCCTTCTAAGACGAACATATTCATGATGTTTATGACTCATTGCACTTAATTTACATCTGTTTTGTGTGGTTTAACGCAGTTATTGCTATATCGTGACGTATCTGATAAATTTGGCTCCAGGTGACAGTTAAGGCTCTCCATATTTCGCCGGTGACAGATAAGACACTTTTTCACCCCTCTGTTCACCATTCATCTTCGTAACTGGCACTGCCTTAAGCTTATGATAACTATTTTTACAACAGGCTGCGCCATCGCTGATTTGCAGGTATTGTTAGTACTTCTGATTTTACAAATGCATCGCGACTAGATAATCAGCTCTCGTTTACGAAACATACCAAGGAACGTTTGTAGAGGTTCACCGCAGATTGGCCACTTTGTGTGTATATTTGTAGATTTGGAATTTGCAGCTGTTGTTTGTAATCTTTTTAATTTGTGGCGTTATGAGACCGTTTTTGCAGATATGCCTACGAATTTACAAAATATAATATAAATTTACACATAGCTGCTTTATGAGAAAAGCTTCAGGTAGCACTTTATCACAGGCGATCCACAACATACGTGGCTATTATGTCGCTGCTGTAACTGAAGTGCAAGGAACGTAAACATGCAGGAAAAACTCGATAGGCTAGGATAGACTCGAAATGCATGTTAAGAAAGACACAGTGGCCAAATTGACAGCTTAATTTATTGGAATGAGCTTAGTACCCCTTTGGATCATTGATGTCGGCCGCATAACCTTGTGATGGAAAATTACGTAAGCTGTTAAGTTAACTTGCGAGGAACAGTATACACATATATAGGGCAGTGCTGTTAGTCTTATTCGGAGCGAAAAAGCTGCCGACATTTTTCGATGTCAAAATCGATGACAAAAGTGAACGCTTTTGCGAGTCAATTGGTGACAGGATTGCAAAAATGAAAACAAATTACAACAAAACATCCCAGTTAGACAAAACTTAAAGCTTAGTATTGGTCTGTACTTGCTAACGCTTGAGCCTAGAGGTGGGACTTTGTATCCTCTTTGGGGGACATGACCCCTCAGTGCTGAGCTGCCCCTCCCCCCCCCCCCAGGTTTGGCTAGGCCATCGCTACATTTTGCTTGGTCTTCACAATGTGGGCGCTGGCTTCCGATACCTTATCAGTTCTGCGAAGTAAACACAATTTAAGGTTTTAGGGACTCACAGGTCGGTGTCAAAGAAAAACCTTCATATAGCACAATACCCAAAGGCTTATGTGAAACGAAACCCACAAAAAGTTGCATTTTGTAAGTCGCTAGTCTCATAGTAAATGTTTGTCCGTCATTGGAAATTAATGACGCGTCTGAAACTATCTGGCCGCCCCTGCCTCTAATCCTGGCAGAAAGGGCGGGCACCGCAGGGAACCAAACCCCTCAGTGCAAGGTGCAATCATGCAAAAGCAATGATTGGTGCACATTGTCTAGCTTGCAATGCCACTCGAGGGACATGTCATGACGCGAATATTGAAATATCGGTGATGGTAGCTGGAAGCGGCGAAACTATTACCATTCGCAGACTTTTGCCGCAAATTTTTTCTTGAAGTAGAGTATGCGGCCAGCTCCCTGGAGCATGAGTGGCATGTTTTATGTGGTTGATGTGGAAATATTCAAATCTTGTATTGCATGTTTTTAGTGTCTTGAAGAAGTAGGAAAACTTCCTACATCCTAATTGACTAATGCGTCACGTGCAATACATAAGCAATAGTGGATGTGAGCATTGGGATATTAGGCGTACTGCGCCTCGGCACGTAAATCGTCCTGCATTCGAATTTTAAGATAGTTGTAGCATTACATAGCAGTAGCCTGTAATGGAAGCATATCTTTTACTGTGTACTATGCGCAGTACGCAATATGTAACGCGTACGTATTTCATACACATTTGCTTATTTATTTTCATGTCGTTTTAGCATGTACAGCACCACGGACTCATGACGCGATGGCGTAATCTTGATCGGAATAATCTCTTGATACTGTTACTGCTAATTCCGTCCTGGGAACCTACCTCGAAATCGCATGGATGAATCATCCTGGTCAGGAGCTGAACGGCCCTTTCTTCCCACCCCGGGGTAACTAGCGGCTGCTATTCTGGTGATCCGTAGACCGACATGGCCTGGTCGGTCCGGAGGCCCTCAGAGGGATACATCATTTACGCGTCTCATCCCTGATGCGTTGAGCCCACTGATCTAGGCATCTAACACAGGATCGACGCAGGGACACGTCACTGACGCAGAAAGATCCCTTACCGGCACAAGAAGACCAGTGTGTAATTGGCGCCGAGACACCAAGTCGGCTAATCGGCCCGTCTCCTGGTTGAAAAGGTGCGGAGACCCCTCGTTTTGTCCCGCGGCCTCTGACTGGCATAGGTCACTGTCTCATTGCGAGTACAAATATTTGCGCGATCATTTTTCACGTCTCCTGTCAATGTCAAGAAGGTCCTGACCAAGGCAAGAGGCCTTTTTACATATGAGCTTCCGCTCCTGTCTCTGTCCCTGTCCCTGTTCAGCAAATGTGCCTATGACCGACTTTGGGCTTGCCGACACAGATTCCTTTGTTGGGCACTGTGGAACTGTGGACCCCTGCTCAGCGAGGGGGCCAGACCAAAGCACGAGCTTTCGGATTACCACTTGCAGCCCCGGTCCTGCCCCGACTTGGGAAAGACACCCCAGGACGAAGGCGTGCACGGGACGAAGTGTTCGGTATTGCCTGGAGGCTGAGGTCTCTTCAGCCCCCCCCCCCCCGGGGGGGGGGGGCTGAAGAGACCCCTTCGGACTCCTCGATCGAACCCTTGGTCGTCGTTCCCTCGGGGCCCAAAGGGCTAGTCGGGACCTTGGGAACTAAAGACCTAAAGCAGTTCGCGTGTTTCTGTCCCATTGATAGTGGCCCTTTTGTTCCTCGTGAAAATAACAGAAAAGCGGGATATTGTTGTGCCCTCTGGAGTTTGACAAAACTTGAAATGAAAGGGCTTGGCGGCCTTCGTGGTGCCTCCCCAGAAGTGGTTGCTTCTTTAAAATGCAGGTCGTGATGCCCGAAATGAGGACATCGGGTATTTCTTGGGCGGGAGGTCGGACTTAGGATTTTGTCAAGGTGGAAGGCTCAGAAGTTGTGTTTCCCTGATTTTCGTGTCCTTTGAAGATGAACACGTTGGGGTGCTTGAAATCACCCGCTCTGATTTGGTGCCTGCTAAAAATGAAGATGCTGGAATCCTTGAAATCACCTGTTTGGATTTGATGCCTGCCACAAAAAAATGATTGTAGGGTTATAGTGTCCGATGATTAAATATTATGGTGCCCAAAACCAAAGTTTTTTTGACCCATCACCAAATGGGCAGATCTAGATTGCGCCCATGGGGAGAGGTACAAACATTGTGGTACCCCTGAACTTCGTGAAAGTGGTTTCGGGACCCTTTCATTAACCTGCAAGGATTTGCTGCTTGTAGTGAACACATATTTTGGGGCTGCTGAATTGAAGGTTTTGGTGTTCCTTCCCCGAATGGGTTGATCTACAATGTCGTCAAGGAAGCATCGAAAGTATTGCAATTTCCCCGGAATTTTGTTCCCCCTTAAGATATATGCTGTGTGACACTTTTAGGTGCTTCCTGAAACTGGGCGTATCTGGAAAATCATAGTTATGACTCCCCACAATGAAAAAATGTGATGTCACTTTGCCGAACGTCGAAGAACGGACCGCTCAGGAATTTCGTCACGGTGAACCTCACAGAAACCCCTCTTGAAAATAGAGGTAATGGTGTTTCAAAATGAAGGTTTTAGTACACCTTTCCCAAGGAACTCGGGGCTGGTAAAACTTGTCGACTGCTGGACAGGATGGGTGACAAAAACGCCTATTTTCACGCGACGCTTGGTGCTGAAAATACTTTTGACCGACAGTTCTGTTCACGGCCATGACACAATATTACAGGGGGGAGGGGGGGGGGGATAAAACGTGCCTACTTGGCGGATAAAG